AACTAATATAATTAGGGAGATAATATATTGCATATGTAAAGCAAGAACAAATGCTACAGAACAGGAATAATCAGGTAACAAGAAAGCTCTTAGATATTAAAAACTAGGGAGTATCTTAGTTATCTAACGCCGCTATAACACAAATACCACAGGTGATGGATCCAAAGAACAGAAATTTATTTCCTCACAGTTCTGGAGGCTAAAAGTCCAAATCAGAGTCTCAGTCATGTCATCCATAGCTGTGGGCATTCCTTGGTTCCTTAGCTTACAGAGGATCCTCAAGTGGAATCTATCTTCCTCTGTACGTGTCTTTGTTTTTATTCTGGTCTCTTTATATGGCATAGTACCTAAGGCATTTGACTGCTAAAAGGCTGGTGGTTCAAACCCACCAGCCACTCCTCAGAAGGAAGGTTGGGCAATCTACATCCCCAGTGCTACTGCCTCGAAAACCCAAGGAGGGGTCGCTATGAGTCAGATCCAACTCAACGGGCAGTGAGTTTGGTTTGGTTTCTGGCAAGTGATTAGGTTAAGATGCACCCTACACAGCAATCCCTTCATTAACATAACAAAAGAAAATCCTATTTCTAAATGGGATTAGATCCATAAACACAAGGGCCAGGAATTCAACACATATTGGGGAAAGGGGCACAATTCAATTCATAACAGAAAGCTAAAATAAAAATCCAATGAATAAGAGAAAAGATTAAATCCCAAACATCTCCCAGAAGAGAGAGGTAGGAGGGAAGTGAAATGGAAAACAAGGAACAGAAAGATAAAATTAAAGATCACCCTAGGAAGTCTAATATCTAACTAAGAAAAGCTTTAGAAAGAAAAAACAAATGGAGTGGAGAAAATTATAAAAGATCAAACACAAAAATTTCCCAGAAATAAAGAATAAATCTTAACTGAAAGGGCCCAAAAAATGAGAGACACATTATCAAGGTGAATCAGTATCAAGTTTCAGAATGCTAATGATAAAAAACCTATCCAAAAAGCATCTAGAAAGAGAAACCAACTAACTTACAAAGATAAGGAAACAGATGGCATATGATTTTTCAAATCAGCCTGAAAGCAATCCATTTGAAATTTTGAATGAAAATTGTTTGAAACCCAATCTATTCCAATTATCAGTTACATGTGAAGATAGAAAATAAAACAAGTAAAAAGACATTTTCAGGCATACACTAGCTCAAAATTATTTTCTATGTATCCTTTCTTAGAAAGCTACTAGAAAAAATACTCCAACAAAACAAGACAATAAACTAAGATGATAATATTCAGTCAGAAAACAAGGGTTACAGCAAAGAAAGTAAAGGGTAGGTCCCGAATGACAGCTACTGGGAAGGAAGAAAAGCTGTGGGTTTTAGGGGTGGGGGGAATGGGAAGAAGAACAATTATTTGAACACAGGAAATGTTACTGATGGGTGTGTATAAGAGATTATGGAACACTGTGGAAAGAACAGATGAATAACAATGGATATATACAAAAATGTAAGGTAAATTAATAAGGCAATTATTAACCTCAAGAAAAAATGGAAAACTATTTTAAAAAGGAGGGATGGAGTCATATTCCACTATTTGACCAGCTGGAAACAATATTTACTCAATCAAAACATAATTCTTAGACTATCAAGTTAACTAAAAATTATCACATTAAGGGCATGCAGGAATTAATGGCATAAGAAATGGGAATCTACCATGGTTAATAAATAATGTCTAAAATAGAAAAATCCAAAAATAGCAAAGAATGAGTTATTCAGAAATAGAGAAATAAATAACTAGGGGGAACAATAAAACGGAGGCTTAAAAGGAACTACTTTTTTTAATTCTCTTAATACTACTGACTTTTGAAACTATATTTTTGTTGAAATTTTTGATGAAATATTTTCTTAATAAAAACAGTCTGGCTAGTATGTGGAACGTGGATTCTAACGAGAAGGGGGAGTGGTGTGGAAAAGAGGGAAATGACAAGTGAGACATAGAGAACCCACTGCCATTGAGTTGATTCCAACTCAGAGCAACCCCTACTGGGTTTCCGAGGCAGTAAATCTTTAGGGAAATAGTTCACCCCATCGTCCTTCCACTGAGTGGCTGGTGGGTTTGAACCACTAACCTTCTTGATAGCAGTCAAATGGTGAAGATAACATATTTCAGATTTTTTTAGGAGATAAAACTGAGACTTGTGGATGGATTTGATGTGTATGGGGAAGAGAATGAGTACTAAAGGAAAGGGAAAAAAATCAAGGATGACACCAAGTCATAGGCTTAAACCACTGAATAGATGTTGGTAACAGGGTGATGGGAAAGACTGTGGAGAGAAGCAGGTTGCAGAAATCAAGAGTTCTGTTTTAGATGTTTATTAGATCTCCAAGATATCAAGAAAGAGGTCTGATGTATGAGCCTGGTGCTCAGGAGATAAGGGAGAGTTGGAGATACAAAACTGAGGGGAATTAGCTACCCTCAATTTAAATCTCTGGAACTGGATGAGATACCACTAGAAATGGTACAAAGAGGACTCAGAGCCAAGTACTCAGCTCTCCAACACTAAGAAACTAGCAGAAGAAAAGAAAGAGAACAGATTATCAGCATACGTCTCATGGACTAAAGCTAAGTACTACTCCATACAATTTTTACTTCACAGCTAGATGGGCAGAGAGATGTATGTATAAATTAATTGATATACATCATTTATATACTTAAGTTTTGGGAATATACTATGGTAATATATAAATCAAAATCCCATTGCCATTGAGTTGATTCCAACTCATCATGACCCTTTAGAAGAACTACCCCATAAGTTTTCCAAGTCTATAAATCTTTAAAGAAGCATACTGCCTCATATTTCTTCCATAGAGTGGTCGGTGGGTTCGAACCACCAACTTTTTGGTTAGCAGCTGAATGCTTAAACCACTGTGCTACCAGAACACCTTAGGATAATATGTGCCTAAGGCACTTGACTGCTAACCAGAAGGCTGACGGTTCAAACCCACCAGCCACTCCTCGGAAGGAAGAAGGGGCAATCTACTTTCGTAGTGATACTGCCTCGGAAACCCAAGGAGGGGTCTCTATGAGTTGGGTCCGACTTGACAGCACATAACAACAACAACGTCAAAAATTGTGGTCAAAAAAAAGTTAAGAAATTCTGAGGTAGAGGATGAGAAGCCAGGAAAAGATAAAACAAACAATTATCCAGTAATAGTAGGAAGGAAACCATGAATATACAAGGTAGAAAAGTCAACAGAAATGATTTACAGAGGGAATACTAAACTATAGATTATAAAGGGTTAAGTACAATAAGGACAGGTAAGTGTCCACTGATTGGCAACATGGAGGTCCTTTGTTATTGCCATAGATAAGGATAGTTGGGGTGGAAAACAGACCTACAGCAGCTTTTAGAGTGAATGAGAGGCCATAAAGTAGAAACAACCAATACAGACAGGAGTAGAAAAACCTCCCCAGGGCACTGAAATTGAAAATCAGAATCCCTGTTTTGAAAGCCTGTCAGTTATGAAACATACCAGGCTAGGGGTTACTTCAGGTAGTCCCCCCTAGCATAGACTTCTGTGTTCCTCCTAGTCCTTGCAGGCAACTCAACACTGAAGTTTGCTGAATGGAATGAAATCAGAAAACAGATGTGACTAAAGGCACTCTTACTCTGAACTCCATAAACGGGATTTAGGGGAGGGGGTCAGTGAAGCCTCTGAAAGAGGAAAAAGAAGTACATTGGTACATGTTTCGAAGGAAAGGGATAGCAGCATTCATCAGATTATCAAAATGACTTGTGACTACCAGAAAGGTAAGAATTCCTCTTTTAAAGACATATACCTAAACTAGGGAGGGGACACTGAAAAAAATTTTTTAAAAAATAAAATAAATAAAAAAGCTATATAACAAAACTATCCACCTACTCCTCACTTTTCAATGAGTACTGAAAAAACGTGACACCCGTTTCTCTCTCAAATCTGGTCCCATCCTTTTCTCCTCACCTCCAAGACCCAACCACAGTCAAAACAGTCAAGACACCCCTTCAGTAGCTCTCTTAACAAAACAATGCTTGTATTATTTCATTAGTTCTTGACCATTGCAACCAAAATAAGGTGTTCTTTCTCCTACCAACCAAAAACCCACTGCCATCGAGTCAATTTCCACTCATAGAAACCCTGCAGTACACAGAAGTACCCCAGAGGGTTTCCAACGTTGTAAATCTTTACGGAAGCAGTCTGCCACATCTTTCTCCAGAGGAGAGGCTGATGGGGTCAAACCGCCTACCTTTTGGTTAGCAGCTGAGTACTTAAGTACTGCGCCACCAGGACTCCTTAGAGAAAGCAAAAAAATCTAAACTTGTGTTAATATTACTGTGAGAGAAAAGTTTAACGTCCTCTCATTCCAAGGAGGAAAAAACCCACAGCATACAAAACAGCACCATTATTACAGAACTAAGAGTTAGGTTACCTGATCCTAGGAGTTTAATATAGCCAGTGTTTTTAAATTCTGCCTAGTCTCAGCATCTCTGGAATTTAGTTTAAGCCTGAATCCAAAGTAAACAAATAATTTCACGTGTACTTAAAAGCCAACTCTCTTCCAATCCCTGATTGAAAAAGACAGTGAAACCTCTCGTTATCTTAAGGGTCAGAACCTATAAAGGAAAAAGGAGTAACCAATCACTTCACCTTCGCATACAGGCCAAGGTTAAAATCTGGGCAGACCGTGGGAAGAATGGCAATCGAGAGCAGACACTACCAGTGAAGCAGTATCTGGTTTAACCTAGAGTCAAGATGCCCAGCGCGGATCCTGTTCTTTCCTTCCCTTGGTTGGCCTGCGGGTCCGTCAAGGGTCAGGGGTACAACTCCTCGGAGCTCACGCCAAAGAGGTAAATGGACAACAAATAATCGAAAGATATTTGTCCTTTTTTTTTTTTTTTTCCCAACCAGACAGAACAAGTCAGTCAAGCCATGTGAACAGCAGTATATAGCTGACCCTGCGTGGGTGCTCCCACTCACCGCACACCATCAGCAGCAGGACGATCAGCAGCGTGGCCACGAACACGAGCAGGGTCAGCCCGACGTTGTGCCACATCTTGGGGGAAGGAGGGAAGTCGCGGCAGGGCGGTGGGCGAAGACCGGTAGCGGCGCGTCACGGCTTCAGCGGCTGGCGCCCTGAGCGCCGGGGCGGCATGGGCAGCGGGTGTCCCTCAGCAGCGCCCCCAGGGGGCGGGGCAGAGTGGAGGACGGACGCCGCGGCTTTGCGGGCCAGATTGACACTGCTGCTCGCCCGGGGCCAAGAAGGGGGACCGCGGGGCGCCCCTACGTGCTCATCGCTCGCGGGTGCCGAGGACGCGACGCCTGGAGACGCCGGCGGCGGCCGGATGCGCTTCCATGGCGGACGCCGCCTATGTTCAGAATGAGCGCAAGCAAAGGGACACACAGCAGCGACCCGGCCTTGTCGCCACCTGCTACAGGGTCCCTTCCCTTGCTTCCTAAGCACGGCGGATGCCAACGTCTCTGGCGCAGCGGTCTCCCAGACTCAAGCCCCCTCCCCTGGTGGCAGCTCATCACCGAGCGCCCCCTCCGCTCGCCGCCTCCGCGGCGCGGGGGTGCCTGGGAAATGAAGTGCGGAGCCTTTTTGAGACGGGAGGAAGCCGGCCCGGAGGTACTACAACGCCCAGAGTTCACCTCAGAGTCGGCGGCTTAGCTGCTGTCTCGCTCTAGTCCCCACTGCCTTTGGTCTTTCTGGGGTACAACCTCTGTCTACCCACTGTGGTTGGTGTATTTGGAACCAACGGGTTGGACGCCTCCCCTCCTGCTTGTGCTGAGGCACCAGTGTGATTTCAACTAGCATTCCATCCACCTTTGTTTAAAGCCATGATCGACGGAATACAAAGGAGGAAAAGGGAGGCAGCTGCCTGAAAAACTGGTTGCACCTGAACCCAACCCTATTGCCGGGAGCGAAGGTTGGATATTTAGGGCTTTTGAGAAAGTACGTCCCTGCCATAGAGACGTGCTAAAGACATAGAATCTCCTTTCTTCCCTGCAACAGGATGTCTGTGTTTTCATAAGTAATATATTTCAGAAATGGTCAGCGGGTGACTTAACGATATCTGGGGTGCCCTAAATTCACTTGCCCGAGTTGCAAGTTTGCTTCAGCTGCTTTCTTCAGACCAAACGGAGATGACCCACAAAATGTTGCCGCACAAACTTGAACAAACCACTATGAAACAAGCACTTTAATAGTCCCAAATCTTTACCTTTAGCTGAAATTCAAACTCCCCAGTTCTTCCAGATTACATTTCACGTTTTCCTGATTCTGTACTCCCAGCAAACTTTTCAACTCTTCTACAAATTCCTTTTCCTGTGCTCTGTCTCCAAAAACAAAACAAATAACCTAAGCAGTAATTCCTTAATTTAATAAATATGTTGTGACTATGCCAAGCTGCCCTGCTCTGTGAACAGAGCTGTATTCTTAAGAAACAGCATTGTGGATTGTGAACAAATATTGTAGGTGACAATCCAAAAAAAACCAAACTCCCTGCCAACTCATAGCGACCGCTCCTTGGATTTAAGAGGAGGTATTACTACAGAAGTAGATTGCCCAACCTTCCTTCCCAGGAGTGGCTGGTGAGTTTGAACCGCCAG